TATTATTATACTCTTTTCTTTTTTTCCGTTCGACAACAAAGATGTGGCTGCAGCCGATCAAAAAGGCGGACCTGAACCGCACGGACGCGTACGAGTGTCCTGTGTACAAGACGAGCGAGCGGCGAGGCACTCTGTCCACTACTGGTCACTCCACCAACTTCGTCCTAGCCATGCTGCTGCCATCTGACAAGCCAGAGTCGCACTGGGTCTGCAGGGGGCTTGCCTTGCTCTGTCAACTGGACAATTGATAGGTTCAAATTCCAGTTGACAAATTGTTTGGGGTTAGAATCTATTAGGAAAACAATGTTGTTTTTTTCGTATGGATTATAGAGAATGTTTATTTTTTGCTTGAAATTACGTATAATATTATTACTTTGGCATTCTATAAGGAAACAATGAACGTGGCAACACCCAAAAGGGTATAAGCGGCGGATAAAAACCCAAAAAATGAACATGCACGTGTTTTTCCCTATAAAAGGAATAATTATTATTCCTCATTTGAGAGCGATGCACTTGTGTCAATGCGCTTGGGTTAAAGCAACAAAGTGTAATCATTCATGGTCACAGAAACGGTGTGAAAAAAATACTTCGTTTCGTTTTGCTCCAATTTTTACAAGAATTATTTTTTATTCACATGCCCACTCCAAAGATAGCTCGCAACCTTCTTTTCCTTTTTAAAAACCTATGTCGTTGTGTCTTTCAGAGCGATTATAGAAATGGCTCTTACAAGAATGTATATCTGTTTCAAACAATGCCATGAAATAAAGTTTCGTTTTTTTTAAAAAACTATAAAACGTGTTACTCATTTCTGTTCTTTAAATAGATTCGGTTGGAAGTCAAACTCTATTATGTTCAGCTTATTTTTAAAAAAACTACTATTTCTTTAACAGGGCTTCCAAGAAATTAGATACACAGCAAAAAGCAATTTTATTTTGATTGACTGATTTTGAACATCTCTATTGTCTTATGTTGCCTTGAGGCTTTACTTTACTGACTGTGAACGTTTTTGACTAATTCTCTGACCAGAGTATAAATATAAGAATGTGTAGGTCGCAGTATTTCTGAAACTCTTTGGTAAGGGGAAACAAATATTGCATATCTTAAACCTTCGTAACAAATTGCATTGTTGTTTCCCCTGATTTAAAAAATGCAGTCCTTTTTTTTTCTTTAAGCCAATTCCTTCCAATTTTTTTTCGAAATAGCAGAGCTGAGGAGTCAGCTATCCACCCTCTGCTTTATATGCCTATCGTTCAAAAGCAGTCTTTGGTTATCCAAGGTAACCCTGAGTTGTCTCTACTTGGATTAAACTAAACAGACGTATCATTTCACGCTAAGCTTCTTTTATTTTATTTTTTTATTTATTTATTTTTTTTGGGGGGGAGGGGGGTCTGTTTGGTAAGTGTGTCAGTAAGCAGAGGATGGAAGGAAGGCGCAACACTGTCTCGATCATTTTGTGTCTCTAATCAATAGCTCTCCACGGCCAAACGGTACTCAGAAAGCTCTGATGTATTGTCGAACGGCACAAAGTACGTAATTAGATATCAACATTTTGCTTGACCGTCTGTCCATCTGATACTTCACTCTCTGTCTTTTTCTATAATGATGTTTGTGTGTTGTCATTGAGGCTGTTTTTGCTAATGTTGTTGCTGGTACTGCTGCTGATCTTGTTGTTGTGGTTGTAGTTGTTGTTGTTGTTGTTGTTGTTGTTGTTGTTGTTGTTGTTGTTGTTGTTGCTGCTAATTTTGCTGTTCATGTTGTTGTTGTTGTTGTTATTGTTGTTGTTGTTGTTGTTGTTAATGCTGCTAATTTTGCTGTTCATGTTGTTGTTGTTGTTGTTGTTGTTGTTATTGTTGTTGTGCTTTGACTCTGCCTTCCAGGGCCAACTCGGGCTGAGAGGGATATAATGTTACCGGAGACAGACGGGAATATTCGATTAAAAAAACTCTACATACATAAATCGAATTCGCGTCTTAATAATTTAGTATGACGCCTGTCTGGCATCCTTGAACTTGTTCCATTTTTTTAGCCACATTTACTTGTGGGTAGTTGGCGGGTGTTCTGGCGCGGTCTGCTCCTTCTAAAGCAAATGTATTTTTCAAAGGTTTTTATTTGTATTTATTATTCATTTATTTATTTATTTATTTATTTATTTATTTATTTATTTATTTATTTATTGCATTTTGTGCATTACACTGTATTCATACATCTATAGGTTGGATGTCTTTATTTTTCGTGTATTCAGTGAACTATATAGTACAAAATAACCTAGTTATCCGTACCCGCTCGGCGTTCTCTCAGCTTGTACTCGGTCCCCCATGCTATGACAGTGCACACTTGTCAGTATGCCTGAATTGCGAGCGTCTGTAAAATGGCGACTTGCTGAGAATGTTGGGAAACAACATTGCACAGCGCAAAAGTTTAGAATGGGGATATATCTAAGTGCTATATATGATATACAGTTGTCATCATCATCATCATCAGCATCAGCAGCAGCAGCAGCAGCAGCAGCAGCAGCAGCAGCAGCAGCAGCAGCAGCAGCAGCAGCAGCAGCTTGGCTCAGTACCAGGTTCCAACAGTTGCTTTACCTTGCCTCCGCCCGGCTGAGGTAAAAATGGGTAAATGAACAATTGGCTGAGACCAAAATGCCGCGTTTGGATTGGCATCGTTCCCCTCGACAAACTGAAATTGACTGAAGCTTTTAAGAGGCCAGGATAAGAAACTGGAACGATATTTGAGTTGTAAGCTTTTTACGGCACTTGCAACACAATTGCGTTATCTAAGTGCCGAAGATCAGAAGCGTTGTGTACAAGAGAGTATCAAATACAAAAAAGGAGGAGAGGCAAGGACAATAAATAGGTGTTTAGACAGGAATGAAAAAGCAAACGACACCTGCCAATCACCCACTGGACAGGTCTGAACAACCAAGGAAGATTCTTAGAAGACAAGTGATGGTTAACTGAGTGTATAAATGTATACATATAAACTACCATTTGAACGCCAACTTCCGAAAGAAGCTAAATAGATTCCCAAAAGAGAAAGGTTTAATTTCAACGATTTCTTTTTCTTTATTTTCATGGGCAGTACAACGTGCAGATACAAGACAGTGTTGAAAACCCTCCCAATGGTTACAATATAAAAAACGGTGCTTACCAGGTATACATTTTTATCAAAGACATATTTCAAGGAGTGCAACTACCGTCAGTGAGAAAGTCTAGCGCTCCCGAGAGTTTCACAGCGCCAGACTATACAACACAACGAGTCACATTCCGACTTCTGTCTGATTCCAAATTGATCTAAGCTGACACTCCATCCATTTTAAAAGTAACCTTATCATATCGGCGTTTAAGACACTAAAATACAAGCACCCAAAGCGTCGACAGAACTTTTTGATTTTTATATATAGCTACAAGACACAATAAATCCCTTGGAAAATCGGTGACTGTACTTTAGCATCTTAAAAGCCGATTTCGCTTTTCTTTGTACACCATTGCAACAATACTTTCGAGGACAGTTTTGATTCTTATTCACTTTAATTACAATTTACATTAACTTTTTCGGCTTTGTAATAATACTTTGAGGAAACAAGGACATTCAAACGGTGGGGGAGTAACATTGATCAACAGATATCTCAACACAGGCATGTTCCATTGCTGTTCAGTAAATTCAGGGCAACTCACGGTAACATATTAGAATGAGAGAAAACTGGAGAGAAGAGAGAGAGAGAAAGAGAGAGAGAGAGGGGGAGAAAGAGAGAGTGAGAGAGAGGGGGGGCAAGAGAAAGAACAGCGAAGTTGGAAAGAATTGACAAATAGACAGACAGGCAGAGACTGACAGAAAAGCGAGAACAACTAGAGAGCGAGAGAGAAAGAGAGAGAGAGAAATGGACAGAGAGAAAGAGATGGACAAAGAGAGAGAGAGAGAGAGAGAGAGAGAGAGAGAGAGAGAGAGAGAGAGAGAGAGTGAGAGAGAGATAGAGAGCACAAACGAGGACAGAGAGGGAAAAGAGTCAGAGAGATTGAGAGAGAGAGAACGAAAAAGTGAGACATTGGTGGAAAAGGGGGAGGGGGGCAGTTTTTAGATCTATCTCTCTTGCAAACTGTTCATACTCATACTGTCTGAAGCAGCGAAATGTCTGACTGTGGCACAAGAGGATGGGCGACAAAGACTGACGATGTTTCTTGAGGTCACGTTCTAAACGCACAACACAAAAAATACAACATAGCAGCAAATTATTATACTCCTGTCTTATTTTGAAGTCACTTTCCGCTTACTCTTTTTAAAAACCAACTCTGGATCCAGTTTCCGCAAAGATGGCGTCTGAAGAGGAGGAGGTGGGCCTGCCCCTTGGCTGATGGAAGGACTGTCGGGCTCATGGGGTGGGGAGACCTGCTCCTTTGGAGCTTCGCTCTCGTCTGGATATGCAAACACCGAGTTGTTCTCAGACGCACAGTCAGGGATGTTGGCAGAAGTACCCACACCCGAATCTCTACTAAGAGGGGCGTCGTATTTGTCCTGAGTATCCTCCCCCTCGCCCAAATTTGACGTAGTCCTCTCATCGGCTCGTGATGTGCTATTTACAGTTTCCGGAGAAAGCCCCGTACTATTTATGGACTCCGTAGGGGGTGTTGGTGTTTCGTTGTCTGAGGAATTATCGAATGTTTCCATTCGGCATAACGCCCCAGGTTTATTACGCTTCGGGAGTTTTGGTTTGGAGAAGAAAGCGCTCTCAGTGAGTTCAGGTTCAGCTTTTTCGTTGTCAGGTAACGAAATCGTGATTGGCTTACGTGACGAGGCGCTTGTGACATCAGGCTGAACCGGAAGTGATCCATTTTGAGAACGTTGACATTCTTCTGTTTCTGGAAGTTGTTCCTGAAGATCCTGAGACGTACCGTTCGTATTGTTGTTACAAAGTCTTGTCCCATTTTGAGAGGGAACACTGTGAGCCAAAGTAAGAGGGGCTATAGAATCAAGCAACACATTGTCGGAGTCAGTACAGGACTCAGTTCTCATAGAACTATTGTCTTTCAGTGAAATGTTATCAGTACCCTGAAGTTTTGAAAGGTACGAACTGTGACCTGAATGCACTGGCTGTAATCGAGGAGAGCTGTCAGCTTCTGAGCTGTTCAGAAAAGTGTACCTGCCTCCTCGTTTACCCTGGCTGAGAGCTGTGGGGTATTTGTGGACGGGCGACTTCCCACCATCGCCTATGCTGCCGTAAGGATGGCCAGCTTCTGCAAAAGGGAATGATTCATCGTCTGACGCACTGTTAGTGGCTGTCCACGCTTCTGCAGCTCGGTGGGATTTGCCACAAGGAATGTGCGAAACTCCAGGGTAGGCAGACAGCTCTTCGCTTCTCGTTTCACGCAGTGGTGGCGCATCAAGTATATTCTTCTTAGCGCCCTGCGGACTTTCGCTTTGCTGGCGTAGGTTCAGAAAGTTGACTGGTGCGGCTTCCTCTTTCGAGGACTGGCCATTGATTGGGATAGACGTAACTGGCGCTCCGTCTGACTTTCGCTTCTTAAAGCGCTGGGACGACAAAGTCACCGGTGGTGCAGAGTCACGAGAGGGCGTACTGTTGTAGCGCGATGGTCCTCCGGCCGTGGTGGGGGCGGCCCCTCCTCCCCGGACACCACCACCAACCCCGCCAGGGATATCTTTACCACGCTCTCCAAAGGTATGACCCTGATTGTATCTCGCGTTTTGCGCAGCTTCCTTGAGCCGGTGATTGTGGATAACAGTTCTCGGAGACGCCGTGAGGGGGTCAATAGGGAAAGCGGTCATGGCACTGAGACCCGAGTATGAACCAGCTTCAGGACTTCTGTTATACCAAGCGTTCTGAGCGACCGAGTTGTAATCGCCCCAGTCGTCACTGCGTTGGACAGACACAGTGGTTGTTTGTTGGCCCGGGCCTCCATCCCTCCTGCCTTGCCAGCCGTTGTGATGCTGTTCCCCCTGCTGTTCCTTTTGCCTTTCTCTGTAGCTCCTCTGAAATTCGGAATCAAAAACGTTCCTAGTATCCTCTCTAGCATCATCAGTGACACACTGCTCGTACGAAGGTGGAGAACGCAGTTTTGATTTCCCAGCGTCACTTACGCCGTTTTCGACGACAAAATCGGCCCGCTTCACAATAGGCTCTACAGGGTGCGGTGCGCCGTTGGTCAAAAACGTCGCGGCGGTAGCACCGGCAGCAGAAGCCCCAGCCGCCCCGCCGCTATCACCATCACCACCCCGGCCGCCATTAACGTCTATGCGTCCGCTGTCATGGTAACCACCCGTGACACCGTTGTCGTCGTCTAGGAAGACTTCATCACAGTTCTCATAAAACAGGGAGGCCTCCGTGTCTTCTGTGACCGGCTGGTCACTTTCGCTCTTGCCAATACCTGAAGGACAGACAATAATATAATAATATTATCATCATAGCATATCTTAGTATTTCGATGTACAGAAAAGTGGGAAGACATGGAATAACATCAAGAGGCTAGCCCAGGATAGAGAAAAGTGGGGGGTGTTTGTCCGTGACCTATACCCTGGTGCAGGGTGAGAAAGGCAATGATGATGATATCATAGTATTAAAATGTCGACGGCTATCAAAACGAGAAATTGCATTTCCATCATAAAATACTACAAACACTTAATTTTTTTATTTTTTTTCCTTTTTTTTTTTTTTTTTGAAGTTTTCTGAGAACATTCTAATCTAATGCATGAGACTGAAGTATCAGTTTTTCTTTTCAGTTTAAAATTGTCTGCAACTCCATCGCATATCACCGAGACGAGAGCTGCCAGATATTCTCATTTTGACATACTCCAAGCATCAGAAATCATCTGAAACTCTTTTCACGTACCTGAATCACGCGGAGGACTAAAATAGATGCGTTGGTTTTAGAGTGATTCTGATTCAAACAAATTATAAACGTTTTCAAAAAACAACTCAAATAGACCTCATGTTACTTCACAGCAATTCACTTTCCTAAGAAGACATTAACTGGATCAATAGTTTAAAACGTTCTTCTTGATGTGGTTGAACTTGTTTTCTTGTTAATGTGAAAGGTTTTTCTTGCGGGAATGAAGGGAAGTCTTTGGTGTAAAGCACTTAGTAGAACTTATAGTCGTATGGAATACAGCGCTATATAAATACAATATATTATTATTATTATTATTATTATTATTATTATTATTATTATTATTATTATTATTATTATTATTATTATTATTATTATTATTATTAAGGACGATAAATGTTTGATAAGAAAGGAGCGAACCACACCGGAGCATCTCCCAACTACCCATGATACAACCACCCAGATACCTGGTTTCTGAAGGCAGATAAAGAGATACACGGATAAAGGATACAGACCGTCCGGATATAGAAGAGATATAATAAATGAACTGAAAGAAGGACGGACAAGGAGACAGACAAGCGAACGAATCTGCAGGGAATCGAAGCAGCCTTTCGTGACAAACATCCGCGCTCTGGTTATCTCTCTCTAGTGTTTCTCCTATCTCTTTGTTTTAGGAAGCGTTTACGGACTTGCGACACAACAAGAACAAATAAATGCCGAAGATTGTACAGTCCACAGACTACAAGATGAGTGCATCTTTTGACATGCGAATGAAATTCTTTCCTCACAATGGTCCGACCACGTTTTAATAAGTACTTTTCGACACTTGCAACAAAATTAGATCATATATGTGAGGCAGCGTGGTGGAATCAGGCTCTCGTCAATTTTGGGGCATATTGAGTTATTGGTATCCAGCTTTGGAATTTACCAAGCTGGATACTGTAAATTTATATTTTTGTGCCTTCAATCAGCGTTTTCAGTGGAAATCCTCAAAGGAATGTGTTTGAAAATGGGCATAAAAGGTGTTGAGCCAAAAAGCAAAAATTTGATAAAAATTGCAAAGCAGAGAGAAAACTGCTGTTTTCTACGATTTCATTATTTTGACGAGAGCCTGTTTCCACCACGCTGTCTCACATATTTGTTAAATTGATTCCTATCAACCTGAAAATGTTCAATGTGTCCGCCGTGCTCCAATGACCTTATGTCTTTTAGTAAAACACTTACTTACCAAAACAAACAAAACAAACAAATATATTTATTGTCAAAGATTAAAGATGTCACAAGGGATCAACATGCACATAAAAGAAAGAGGAGAGATCAGTACGATAGCAATAAATGTTGATAGAAAAAAAGGAGCAACCGCACAGTAGCATCGGCCAGCCCCCCCCCCCCCCCCCCCCACTCTCCCATCTCAGAGCATCAGCTTGTTCCAGAAGAAACAACAGCAGATTCATTGTCAGAGCGGACGGGGGGGGGGATTGTTTGTAATGCTTTTGTTTTTGTACTGTTTTTTTAAAAATCTTTTTCTTTTATTAAGATCATCGCAGACACGGAAGGTCGTAAAAGATTTCTGTCTGAACCACCAAAATGTCAGATCCTTTTAAAGACTGTTTACAAAAGAGGAGATCGGTGACATGGGCCGTCAGCCAGCCGGCTCAAGTTAAAACCCAAATAAACACAACTAAAACAGAGAAACAGAATAGGAAGAACAGAAGAAAACATCAGGTGTGTTGTAAAATCGATATGAACAATAGGACAAAATGAATGCGGTTGCAATATGATCTCTACATGTATAACTATGCACACTGCTTTAAAATTGTCCAAAACATGTTGAATGTTAAATAATATCTCTTATTGCGTAGACTTGAGCAATTCACAGTTCTGTATTGGTGCATATACGATTATGTGTGTGTGTGTGTGTGTGTGTGTGTGTGTGTGTGTGTGTGTGTCTGTCTGTCTGTCCATCTGTCTGTCTGTCTGTCTGTCTGTCTGTCTGTCTGTCTGTCTGTCTGTCTGTCTGTCTGTCTGTGTGTGTATGTGTGATGAGTGTGTATGTCTATGAGTAGGTGCTTGTGCGTGTGTTTGTGTATGTGGGGGTATCTATATGCATCCGAGCGTCTGTGTCGGTCTTTCTCCCAAGGTATCTATCTATCTATCTATCTATCTATCTATCTATCTATCTATCTATCTATCTATCTAACTATCTATCTATCTATCTATCTATCTATCTATCTATCTCTGTGTGTATCGGTGTGTGTGTGTCTATTCTTTGAATGTATGTGTGTAGGGGGGAGATGAGTAAACCCAGCAACGACCAAGAACCCACACAATATTATGACAGGACAGCTCAAATTACCCAATTCTGACTGGTATCTAGCGACCATGAGTGTTGTGATTCGCCTACGTTCCATCAGACCAGATTTGACACGCTTTTCCTCTCTCTTCCGAAGATATCTGGCAGAGAAAGGAATACAAAAACACAAAAATATTATCGTGTCACTGAACGCCCATACAGCTACATAAACAGTAGCACATGCTGGGTGCATCACTTTTCTTTTTTTTTTTTTCTCTTGCGTACACATTCGGCGGGGGCTCTCGTGGCCTAGAGGTAAAGATGTTGGCCTCTCATTCAAAGGTCCCGGGTTCGAATCCGGGTAGCGACCGAACAATTTTCTTATCTAAAATTGTCTACTTTCACCTTCTTTCCTGCTCTCTAGCAATGTTCTGTTGTCTGCTTTCATTTCAACTTTCTGCCCCCACCCCCTCACCTCCTTTGCCCCCTCCTCTGGGCTCCTGACTTTTTCTGCAGCCTTTCTATTGCTACTCCTTGGCTCCTCCTTACTGCTGTCTTTCTGCCACACCCCTGGTCTTCTGGTAGGAAAGATCTACACCTTGCCTTCCCGGACAAGGGCGAAAAATCTCGGAGGGCCCGAGTGCAAGTTGCGCACGTTAAAGATCCCTTGGTGGTCTAAAATCGATAAGAGTAGGTTTCGGCCGCCACCCGGGCAAAATTCAAAATGCCCTACCAGCTGAAAATATTAGATGTGTCTCGCGCGCTCATATGACCATATGCAGTTGCCAGCGCCGTAAAACACTTTACAAAAACAAACAAAAAACACATTCGGCCCTCACGTTCTGAGTAACTCAAAAGGGCCAAAAATGTCCAATAGAACGTTATAATTCTAAGGTAGCGATGAACAAGCACACGCTTTTCTTTTCTTATCTTTTCACTTCTTTGTTTTGTTCATTTTCCAACTTTTTACATATTCTCCTATTGTTAATTTGCTTTAAGGGTACCATCCTCACATTATAAAATAATGCTGTTTTTCTTTCCGTTGTTCGGTGGAAGAGGAATGTCGTAGCACACATATATATACATAATATACATACGTATGTACATACAAGCGTGTGTACGTACATACACTCTTTCACTCACACATCCGTACACAAATAAACACATACACACATATTATACATACGTATGAAAATACATGTACACACACACACACACACACA